CATATGATAATTATAAATACTAATAAAACAGTACTTCCCATAATACATGTGTATAAGTCTTGGGCTTTCTGAGGCAGCAAAGAAATTGCTGGATTCAAATGTTTTCCCACATTTGTCAGATGCTTTATCTTAGGCAAATCATTTCACCCTTTTTAGCCTTATTTCTCCCATCTGCAAAATGGTGATAAGAGTATCTCTGATAATTTATGACAAAATCTATGATTGTTTCAAAGATTAAAGCAAGAAAAAACATAAATGGCTGGCATTAAAAAAAAAAGACTGGCATAGTATGTATAGTAAGTATTCAATAAAAGTAACTATTAGTAAACAGGGAATTAAAACAGTTAAGCTTTATAATAAGCAATTTACAAGCTGTACCTAAAACCAAATGACAGAAAAGGACCAAAAATTAAAAGCATAGCCAAAGATATTACTAACAAGATTTTAAACCAAAAAGAGCCAATATAAATAACCAACAACATAGTATTCAAGACAAATAATTGGGACTAGGATGAAAGGGAACTATAATCTGATTTTTCCTTTAAAAATGTAAATAAGGCTATTATGTGAGAATAGATCTTGGTGAGAACAGGATATTAGTGGCAAGTATATTTCTCTCTCATTTTAAAAAATTTCAGAGGTAAGCATTCCAAGGCCGGTTTGAAGGTCTCATAAGACATCAAAGACCCAAGTTCTTTCTGCTATCCTTCTTTATCATCCTTTGAACATTGATTGCATTCTCAAAGTACGGGGTGGCTACTGGGTCTAGCCATCAAATCCACAACTCCAGCAGGGGGAAGTAGGGAAGGCAAAGTCATCTCCCTTAAAAAGTCTATCTGAAAAAAAAAAAAAGTCTATCTGAAAGTCTCACCCATCACCTTTTATTTATGTTTCTTGTTACCAGGGGTTAGGGACATGGTCACATCTAACTACAAGGAGAGTGAAAAAAGGTGGTTCTCAGAAAAGCATATTGCTGCCCAAATTAATATCAGGATTCAATTATTTAGTTAAATAGGCTACCTAAAAGCCTCTGCTCCAAATCTTAGGTCACAAAGAAACATATTTGGAGGGAAATATATTCTTACAAATATAAGTATAAATAAAACAGAAAATGAAAAAAAGGAAAACTAATAAATTAAAAAGCTTTTTTTAATCAAAGATAAAATATCTGATGAAGTTTATCAATGACTCAGAGAGAGGGAGAAAGAGAAAATGAATGAGATCAAGAGGGAACAAATAAAAAACTTATGAAAAAGATATATGAGATAATCAGTTATTGGGCAGATTTTTTAAGTTTATGAAAATGTCATAAATAAAATTAAACAATCATAATTTTGAAAATCTTGGTGAAATTTATGTTATTTATGGGGAATAGAGATCCCAAAACTGAGCCAAGAAAAAAAAGTTAAAAAAAATAAGATAAAGTTTAAATAAATCAATAAACATGATGTTTAAAATCCTATAAGAGAATTTTCTTCAAAAGGCCAGCAATTCACTGTTTTATAATCAGATTATTTGAAATTTCCAAGAAAAGGGTAAATATCATTCTTTTTAAATGCTCTGCAGAGTAATAAGGAAAAATTTTAAATTAATATAAATAAGAAATATAATAGTTAAATTACCCTAATTACAAAACCTAACAAAAGGTATTGACAAAAATAGAACTACTTCCCTTTTAAAAATGGATGCAAATCTTAAATGAAATGATAACAAATAAACCAAGCAATATGGGAAAAAGTGAGTTCAACTATAATTTAATATTAGGAATCAATGTAATTAATTCTCCTAATAGGTCAAATGAGCAAAATCAAAGATCATTTTGATAGATGATCTAAAAGCAATTGATAAACTTTATATATATATATATATATATATATATATATATATAACAAAAATAATCTTAGCAAAAAGGAATTGAGGAATAGTTTCCTAACTCAGTATAAACATCTATGTCATCTTAATAACTGCCATCATGCTTAATGTTGGAATAGAAAGTAATTCCATTTAGAGTTAAGAATAAGGCAAAGACACTCAACTCATTGTTAGTATTTAACATCTTTCTGGAAATGCTAAGTAATGCGATCAGAAAATGAAATGAGGTCTTACAATTCTGGAAAGAGAGGAGCAATATTTTAAATCTTAAAATGATATGATTTATCCACATGGAAAAAAAGTCAAGAGAATTACCTGAAAACCCATTAAAACTAGCAAGAGATTTCATTAAATTGGTCACATAATGAACTCAATAGCTTTCTTATATACTAACTACAGTTTAAGTTCCTTGGCAAAAAAAGTTTTCTCTCACCACTGAAATTCAGTTACTAATAAGTGGAAATATGACAGAAAATAAAGTCTATATCAAATAATAAGCAAAATATAAGCTATCCTAGAATAAACCTCTCTATGGAGAAAACAATAAAATAATCACATCTATCTATCATCTATCTACCTATCATCTATCTCTATGTAATGTATTTCTAGATTCCTTTTTTTTAAAGATTTTATTTATTCATGAGAGACACAGAGAAAGAGGCAGAGACATAGACATAGAGGGAGAAGCAGGCTCTTCACAGGAAGACCTATGCAGAACTCGATCCCTGGACCCTGGGATCATGATCTAAGCCTGGGATCTCAACCGCTGAGCCACCAAGGCATCACTATATTCTAGATTTCAACTCTTCACCAATGTACCTAATTTATTTCTAAATGCCAAGATAATGCTTTCACAATTTATTGACCTATAACTAAAATGCAATCTACATAGTACAAAATTCACCTGTTTCAATTATTGTTTCGATGACGTTTGGTGAAAAGCAGAGTAATGCAGCCACCACCACAATCAAATTTTGGAACAGTCCATCACCTTCAAAATTTCTCCATGCCCTCTTCCAGTCAACCCCTCTTTCTCTCCACAGCTTCTTTCACTTGTTACAGTTTTCTCTTTCCTAAAATTTCTGTAAATAGAATGGTGTAGAATGTAATCTTTTGCATCTAGCTCCTTCTGCTTATTAAAATGATTCTGAAATGTATCTACATTGTTGCATTTATCAGTAGCTCATTCCTTTTTATTCCTAAATAGTATTCCATTGTGTAAATAGACAACAGTTTCTTTATTCATTTACTAGCTAATAGGCATTTGGGTTTCATAGAGAAAAAAAATGAACATTTAAAAAAAGATATATAAATAATCAGTAAATACATGACAAGATGTTCAACATCTTTGGCTGCTAGGGAAGTGCAAATTACATCTACAGTTACATAGCACATCTACTAGAAAGGCCAAAATTAAAAAGATTTAATAAGGAGGGAAATAAATGGAAATCTCATATATTGCTAGTGGAATTTCAAAATCAGTCACTTTGGAAAACGGTTTGGTAGTTTCTTATAAAAGTTAAACATAAAGTCCATATAAAGACTTAACTGCTAATATTCACAACAGCATTATTAATGATAGTCCTGTATTTACTGATTATATGTTTTTGAAATGCTTGTTTTTTATTATTCTTTTGGTGTTTTAATATTGAATTATAAGAGTTCTTTAGGAATTCTGACACAAGTTTTTTGGCCAGATAAGTGTGTTTCGCAAATATTTGCCTGTGGTTTCTCTTTTCATTCATTTCCTTAATTGCAACTTTTGATGAGCAAGAGTCAAATTTTGATAATAGGTCTAATTTGTCATGTTTTTTCTTCTATGATTCATGGTGTGGGTATCTTGTCTAAAGACTTTCTCTTATATTCTCTTCTGGCACATTTTTTCTAGCTCAGCTCTTTATGTGTGGTTCTGTAATTCATTTTGAATTCATATTTGTGTAATGTGTAAAATAAGAATCAAGTTTTAATTTTTTCCAAAAATCCCAAAACAATTTATATTTTAACTTCATTAAGTTATTCTAAAGGTCATCTGGAATAAGAAACATGTGAGAATAGGCAGTACCATTCTGAAGACGTGCAGGAAGGGAGATACGCTCTTTCTGAAATGAAAGGCAGTAGACAGCTACAGTCAATTAAGTCATGGCCAAACAGGTCAACACAATAGAATAAAGCACAGAACAGAACCAAATATCTGTAATGAGGTAAAATATGATAAAGGTGGTAATTCAAATGGAATAGCCACAGTTATAGTCAGTAAGTGATACTGAAACAGCTGGCTTATTGTTAAGGGGAAAAAAAAACATTGTGTGATAGATTTCAAATAAAAATACAGTCACATGTATAGAATTATATAATACTGAGGACAAGGACTACCTATCGGATCTAAGCATTTTTTCAAAACAAATATTTGTCAAACAACTTTCATGTACCCATCTTTGCAGACACTGGGGGCTCAGCACAGGTGAATAAAACAATGTTCTTGTTGCCTCTTTGGAGCTGTAGCATTCTGTAGTGAGGAAACTAACAATAAACATAATATGCTAATACATAAAGAAACAAAGTCAAATGACATAATACCCAAAAAATCACTGATAGTTTAGAGGATTCGCATTCACAAAACCAAAAAGGGACAGAATTTAGATTCAAAAAAGTTTTGTCTGACTCTAGATATTGTGATTTTAAGTGTAGATTTTGTGCTGAATCCATTGCCCTAAATATAAATAACTATTATCTCTGGGTATATAAATATTTCTTCTTTGCATATTTATGATTTAATTCCTCCCCCCTTGCTGCATATATTGCTTATGTTAAAAAAAAGTGAATAAACACCTATATGATATTTACATTGTATTTGGCAAGACTCTTACTAAATATTTTGCACATGATGATTCATTTAATTCTTATATAATAATCTTCATTTCATGGATGAGAAAACTGAAGCACAAAGAGTTGAAGTGACTTGTTCAAGGTCATGCAAGGGGTTTTGAAAGACTGACTTTTAGAATGCGTGTTGAATGTCTAGGTCAAGAGGATAGACCACTTAATTGATCCTTCCACTTGTACTGATTCTACCTGTTGAATTAGTGAAAACCTCATCTCATTCTCTTACTTGTTCTAGGTCAATAAGTCTCACATTGAGATCAGACACGCAGCGGAATCACCTGGAGAACTTGAAAACCAAGTAGGTCTTGTCTTCAGAGATTCTGATTTAATTAGTGTGGTTGAGGCATCAAATTTTTTAGAATCTCCTAGGCAATTCTCATGAGCAGCCAGGGTTGAAAACTAGTGCTCTAGATGAACAAAACGGAAACATTCTACTCCCTGAATGTTCCTTTGATTTTATTAAGTCTCTTTATTATTTATCACTTTATTTGATTGAATGCTTGGATCAACTTTCAATTTTTGAAAGTAGGTATTTCTATGTGTATATGGATGTGCAAATGGAAAGTCTTATTCAACAAATGTTTGACCGCATACAAATTTTGATTTTGATCGCATACAAATATTTGATCTTGATTGTATACAAACATTTGATTTTGATTTGTGCCAAGTTTAAAATTTGACTTAATATAGAGTTGATGGGAAAAAATTTTTTTAAGTTGAAGTGCAGTTGACACAGTGTTATATTAATTTCAAGTATAAAACATAATGATTCAAAAAAAATAAAAATAAATTAAAAAATAATAAATAAATAAATAAAACATAATGATTCAACAATTCCATATTATGCTGTTGTGTAATACTATGCTTACCACAAGTGTAGCTACTATCTGGAAAACTTTTATTTGAGAGAAGTTATTTTCATTCTTTGATGAGGTTCTTGTTTTATCATGAAGATCTCCTGAAGTTAGAAAGAGTTTTCACCTTTGAACAAGTTCACTTGGAATATATATATTTCTTAGCCTACACTATGCTATAGTGTATGATTTCTTGATGCATTTATAGGATCATGCACATGGAGATGTAATTCCACAAAATGAAGACCAGAGAAAATTATGAGGCAACTCAAAATACTTTTGCCCAATAATTTAGATGTTACAGGTAGAAATTCTGTAAGAGCTTGGAGCACTTTCATAATTATCTATTTTCTCCTTCACTTTACTTTTATTAAACTGGAATATAAGCATTTTAAACTTTTATCTTAAGATAAATTATCTGTGAGAAATATGAACTAATCATGTAATGCTTTGCCTTTTGTATCCAGACAATTATTTAACATCTTTGTTTCATTTTCTATATGTGGAATATTCCATGGAGTCACATAATGCTACCAATGTTGTAAACAAATAAATTAATATTTTTCCAGTACTGAGAAAATCTCTTAAGTCTGAGGTGTACATTTTTTCAGAAGTTATCTTTTTTACTTTAAAAATGTATTCTATTGATCTGAAATGTATTCCTTTTTCAAATACTATTTACAAATTATTTTTTCAAAGATTTATTTTATTTGTTTTAGAGAAAGAGAGCAAGCCTGAGTGGAGCAAGGGGGGTCAGAGGAAGAGGGAGAGAGAGAACCTTAACCAGTCTCCCTGCTGAACACAGAGCCTAGAGCCCAGTAGGGCATGCGTTCAATCGCACAACCCCCAAGATCATGATCTGTGGGGAAATCTAGAGTCAGACATTTAACTGAATGAGAGCCACCCATGCATCCCTATTTACAAATGATTTTTTTAAACTAAATTATTTAACTTATTTAAAATATATCCCAATTTTAAGGTGAATATTATGAATGCATATTACTATAAATTTCTATCTTGAACCAGAGCTCTGTATGGGTAAGAAATAGGAGACAGGAAGAAAAAATATTCACAAGTGAAGAGACTTATTAGCCAAACTGTTTTCTCTTTTAAAGGAGATTCTAAATTTTAAGCACTTAGAGTTGGGTTCTAGAACTATTCTATTTTTATTCATAGACAGAAAACAGGCCTGAACCAGGGATTAGGAAAGCTTACAGGTTATTAGGAAAATCCTTTTTAGGAAAATCATAGCTATTAGGCTGCTGCTGAGAAAGTTGGGTTTCATTCAAAGAATCTCTTAATTATCTCTCTTATTGCTGAAGCTGCAGTTAACATATAGGAAAGAGTTCTTCCCTTTAATGAATTCCCAAATGCTATGGCATTTATTAAGGAAATATTTAAGTAGAGCCATTGTTCAGAGGATATTTTATTCTTTTCTTACTACTACTGCCTCTGCCTCAGCTTATTAGTTTCCTAGTGGGAGGTTATAAGAAATCCGTGAGAATTTATTGTATTCTCTGTCTGGCCTTATTCTGTACTTAACTTTGTACTTAACTGGCACAAAAATAAAAATAGGTTCAGCCCCTAGAGGGTGCTGAGTAAGGAAACTCTTAAGCAAGATACAAGTTATTTTAGCTCCACTAAGATTCTGTTTGCTTAGTCCTTTCACTTAATCATTAACATAAGGGAAATTAAAGTTCATGATTATTCATTTCTTTTCAGTGGGTATTTTTAGAGTGTTCAACATGAGCAAGCTTGGTATTCCGTTCTGGAATATAAAGAGGGATAATAGTTAAGTGGTCACATACACTTACAGTCTACCTATAGGGCAAGATAAATATGTGCTTATTCACTTTAATAAGCACCAAATTAGAAAGAATACACCTGACAAGAGCTCATCCATGCCTGGGAGACCAGCATGTTTCCAGGAGGAAGTTTGAGAATTTACCTTTGGCAGGGAGACTGGGTGAACATAATTGAGTAACAGTAAACATTTTGATGTAGCTGGACCTTAAGAATCTATGGATGGATGAAAGACAGTGAGAGGCAAATAACATCTCTTTGGGGATACTGATTGAATAAAAGAAGACAGTAAGTTAAGCCAGGACTGAATTACATTTGCAAAAGAAATAATGAGCAAGGAAGTTAAAAATATTGGAAAAAAAAAAAAAAGGTTGACTTGGAGTTTAACCCAGATTCCTGAACTACAGGTAGAACCCTTGTTCTCAAGAGATAGACCTCCTCCCAGTCTGAAACAAATCTGATTGCTATGATAGCCTCAAAAGAGTTTCTACTTACTTGTTTTTCTCAGCCTCATGATGCCTACCTGGTTTACTATCATGTGAGATGATTCAAAGCCTACATCTTATTATCTTGGAGTACTTATCATTGGGACTTTATAGAAGGATCAAAAAAGGAATTGAATTTAATATAAGGAGGCAAAATTATATACAAATAAGCTAAAATGACATAAAATTTAGTTCAAATAAAAATTTTATGTTCTTCCTCAATTAAAAAAAAAAACCTCTACCCAGATGAGTTGTTAAAAGAGAAAGATCTCCTCCTGGGCAGTCTATGTTTCTTTCCTCTTTTTCCTTTAAATTTGGCTGAAAGTCTTCTGTGTGTCCTACCCTGTTCTTCTACATAAGTCTAGGAGGTCCTTGCACAGAGCGCTTATAGGATCTCCAGATTTTCTAAGACTCCACTAGAAATCTTCCAAAATACTTTTCATTACTGAGATTAGTAGAGACATGGTTTTGTTTTTTCAGTTCCCTCTGCAAAATTCCTGCCACTGCTTATTACTGAAAACTCTCTTTGCTTCAGATTTACATCTGTTTTCCAACCCAAACACGTTTTAGTCATTGACTACTATTTTTATGTAACTCTCCTGATGCGGAAATGTGCCAATTTTAAATTCTATTTTTATTTTTGAGAAGAGTACCTTGAAAATGGTGTCTGGGAACTTAAAACTGATTTTCCACAAGATACTCAGTAAATCAATCAAGAAAACATTTATGGTGTACCAATGGATTTCCATACACAATGCTAAGCACAGCAGACAATATGATGAACGAGATCAAATCTTTGTATTCAGGGAGTATATAGTCAAGTGAGCAGAAACATGGGTGCAATGATGCTTTCATGTAACATAATCCAACATCCTCCTCAGCCTCAGAAGCTCAGGTATTTTATTATTTGGCACTTGATGCTTGATGCCATGTAGAACAGTAGATACCTTATATTTATCTCAAAGCATTCCATCATCTTATTGTGGGTTACATTTCCCTTGTCTATATTTTCCTCACCCATTCTACATATCTCTATTACATATCTTGGCATAATTAACTTTTTAAGTCAAGTTTATTGAATTTCTTGAGAAAAATTCATAACTTGTACAGACATATAAATCCACCACAATCAGGACAGAAATTTTCCATCACTCCGAAAAGTTCCTTTTGGTCCCTTCCTATTCACATCTCTCCCTATACTATTGTCCTGCAATTGAACTGATTATTCTCTCTCTATTTTTGTATTTTACAGAATGTCATATAGTACAGTCACAGAATATCTACACTTTCATGTCTGGCTTCTCTTATTTATAAAATGCTTTTGTATTTCGTATTGTCATATGTATCAGTACTTTTTTCCCTCTCTTTATTATTGAATAGCATTCCAATGTATGCACATGACAAATTTCATTATCCATTAAATAGGTAATACCCTTTTGGGTTGTTTACTGGCTTTGACTATTGAAGGTACTTTTATTTATTTTTATTACTTCATAGCACTGATTAGGACTTCCAGTATAAAGTTGAATAGATGTGGTAGTAGCACGCATGCTTACTTGTGCTTGGTCTTCATCCACAGTAGCTCATGTGACATTGGATAGTGCCTCCCCTCCAGCTTGATGCATACAACACACTCTTCAGCTTCTCCAGTCTGTGCCATACCATAGGCTGCTAACTGCTGTGGATGCCTTGTATCTGTCAGGAAGCTCTCTTGGACTTCTTTTCAAACAATCTTTGGGTCTGTTCTCTTCCATAAGGTGTTTCTTTGGTCCATGGGAAACACATACAACCCTGACCTACCGTCAACTCTCTCACAGTGTTGCCACACTATTTCTGCCACTAATAGCATCTTGTAGATACTGGTCAACCATGTCATTCAAGTTTCAGGGTTCATGGAACAAGTTCTCTAGGTGGTCTCCCTGAAATACCTCTCTCATGACCCAATCTACTCTTAGATAGAGGCCAAGAAAACACCCCTGAGTGCAACAGCTTTCTCCAAACACATTCTTTCATCAAGTTTTTTCAAACTCAGCCATTTTCTTCCCTTGAGTAAGTCGGCTGAAGATTGTAAAACTGGGTTTTGGGCTGGACTTCTGAAAATCCTGCATAGAGGGGTCAAATGACTTTTTTTGAAAGACAGGAATATTTTCCTCTATTGTTTTATTCCTTGGTGAATTTTACTTGATAGAGAAGCAGAACAAGTCCCATTTTAGAACTATATTACAAATGAAGGAACTGATACTAATAGGTTGATCTTTCAACTTCAATAACTTTTCTGACTACACAGTATTTCAGTTTATTTCCAGTATATTTTCTCCTACGGTCAGGAGAAACATATTCATGAACATATAGCTTTGTACATATGTTCCTTTTAATCACTGCAATAAATTCCCATGATTAAGGAATTATTGATAAATTACTAAATAAAAACTGAAGATGAGATTAGGTAAAATTGTCAAGATCACAAAGAGTAAATATTTGGCAGTAAGCCAGAGCAGTTTAAAACATTTTTTTTAAAGTAGAACTTTGTTTTGAAGTGAAATCTTTTTTTCATTCAATATGTTTATTAAACTCCACAAGCTACCAGAAAGAGTGTCAGGCAATGTAAATTCTCTGATGAAGCTTGCTTTCCTGAGAAAGAAACAATAATTAATTAAATAAATAAAAGAATGTGGTCATTTTGAGTAGTGGTGGCTTATATATCAAAAAGTTATTTATATTTTTAAAAGGGGGAGATATGATAAAAAATGAATGGACATGAGGATGGGGTATTTGGGTAGACTTGAAGGCCTAAGGAGGGGATATTTGAGTTCAGACAAATGACAAGAAGGATCGAGCTCTACAAAGATATGATGGCAACTTGTCCCAGACAGCACGAACAGAGTGAAAATGCCCTAAGGCAGGAATATGCTTGGCAAATTCATAGATCAGACAAAAGGCCAGTGTGACTATAGATACTGAGAGAGGTGGAGCATAGCAGATGATGAAGTCAGATAGGCAGGTAACAGCTGGTCATGTAGAGTCTTGAAGGTGATGGTAAGTCATTAGATTCATTCTAAGTGCAGCAGAAAGCCTTTTGGAGGGTTTTAAACCTGGGAGAGACATGTTCTAATTAATGGATTTAAGAGATTATTCTCTCTACTGTGCAGAGATTGAGTTTTAAGCAGCAAGAGTAGAGGTTGGAAGAATAAGTAGAAGGCTATTACAGTCGCTCAGGTGAGATACAAGAATGGCCTAGTAAAGGTGGACAGAGGGAATGGATATATGATTTATACTGAAGGTAGAAATTTTAGGACTTCTTTATGGATTAGACTTGGAATATAAATGAAAAAGATAGTGGCTTCTCAGCTTCATGGCTGATTGAAAAGGCTGGATCAGAAACAGTTTCAGGGATCAACTTTGCAGAAGGTAATTTTGAGAAGTCCATTAGATATCCAAAGGGAGAAATCAAATATATAGCTGCATGTATATTGGAAGCCAGTGTAGAGATCATGATTACAAATTTGGAATTCATTGACATATTGATGACAGTGAAGGGACTAAATATAATGCCTTGAGGAAAGAGTTTGTACTGAAAATGGTCCGACAATTGAATCCTGAAACACTCCAACAATTGTAGATGAAACATAAAATTTAACACCAATGAAGTAGACTAGGAGAAACCACTAAAGTAAGAGAAAAATCAGATGAAGGCACATCATAGAAATCATGAGTAAGAAGCGTCACAAAATAGAGCGATCTACTCTAGTCTAATGTTTCTGCAAGGTAGAATTAGATGAGGAAAGAGAAATGACCACTGGAACATGGATTCCAATAGTGATGGTTTCAGCTTGCATAACCCACTAGAAAGCAGAGCCTGAAATAAAGCTACCATGAAGGTAGTTTATTTGGGGACATGATCCCTGCAACTAATACCAGAGGACTGGGAATAGTGAAACAGGGAAGGAGGGAAAGTCAGTACATGAATTCATTAGACTCATCATGACTGTTGACACAATCATCCCAGAATCTTCTGAGAAGTTATATAACATGCCTTAGAATTAACTGCCAACGGGATAAAAGAGAAGAACATTCACTTATAGGCACCCATCCCCTACTGTTGAAGGGTCGTTTAGGGGGTGTTAATTTTTTCATTCTTCCAGGTTTTTACAAACTTCACTGTTGAGAGATGCTGCTTTCAGTGGAATCAAAGAAGCACCAGGACAGTAAGACAGAGATACATGGTTTCACTGAGAAGAGGTATCGCCAGATTATATCTGCCAAAAGATGGTTACTATAGCAATAATTGAAATGAAAGGTAAGCATCAAGGACGTAAGATGGGGAATAAGAAGGTCTGATAGTATCCAATCCTTGCACCTCTCAGATCTGCTTAGTCTAACATAGGACCTTCAAGATTATGGATGACCTAAATTTCTACAAAAGACAATACTGAAGTGTTAGTTGAGCAAGCTATAGTCCCCAGTGCTGCAGCTGAGACTAAGGCTGTGATTTATATTCATCAACATCCTTCTCTACCACCTATTCTGGATTCATTTAGCTTTGGCTGGCCCTTCACTAGGTCTAAATTGTTTGGTAGTGATTCAGATCTTCCTCAGTAAAGCATCTGAGTCATTAGTTGCTGTGCATCTATTTGGCCATAGTTGCTGGATTTGCCCACTTGCAGTTAGTATTGATCATGGAAGTATTAAGAAATACTCCAGTAACTCTGCTGGGTTCTATACCTATTCCTTTCTGTCCCCATTATGTGGCAGCTATCCTAGGTTCTAATGGTAATTAATTACTACCACCAATGCAATAACCCCTTTCTTTGCCTGCTGAGTCACTCACATAGGAAGTGGCTGAACTGATCAGTTATTAACAGTCTCTTTAAATTCAGCAGAATCCTTATTGTGCTCCCTATGGGAGTGTCTGTCTTACCTGAGATCCAGGTTTTGAATCCTACAGAATCTAAGAGAGAAAAATGTATATTCTGCTTTTCCTCTCTTTGATTTCCAGATCCATATGTCTCAAAGTTCTGGAGACTAAAAGAAAATCCAGGATCATTGTGCCAGCATGGTCAGGTTCTGGTGAGGGCCCTTTGCTAGGTTGTCAATGGTTGGCTTCTTGTATTTTTAATGACAAAAAGACTGTGCTCTTCATCTCTTTATAAAAGCATTATTCCCATCGTATCATGGGGGCTCCACTTCCATTACCTTATCCAAACCTAAGTACTTCCCAAAAGCCCCACCTCTAAATGCCATGCCATCATCATAAGGAGTAGGCTTCAACATATAAATTTGTGAGGGGAGGTGGGGGAGGGGCACACAACCCTTCAATCCATTGGATGCTGAAACAATGAATATCCTATATTTTAATAGAGGAAAAAGAAAACTTCAATCCATGCCTCACACCTTAATGCTCAAAGTGGATCATATATTCAAATGTAAAGTCAAGCTCTGTAAAAATTATAGAAGAACACATAGGTGAAAACTTTAAATGATTTATAAGTGATTTGGGGTTAGGCAATATTTCCTCGCTATGACACTAGAAAGATAAACACATTAAGAGAATGAAAAAAAAAAAAACAAGACAGATTGAGAGATAATATTTGCAAATCACCTATCTGATAAAGGATTTATATCCATAATTTATAAAGAACTGTTAAAATTCATTAGGAAAATAAAAAGACAGTTAGAAAATGGGAAAAGATTTGAACATACTCATCATCAAAGAAACTGTATGGATGGCAAACAAGTACATGGAAAGATGCTCAACAGAATTAGTAATTAGAGAAGTGAAAATTAAAATCTCAGCAAACCACTACCACACACCTATTGGCATGCCTAGAATTAAAATGACTCACCATACCAAATGTTGGCAGGTATGTGGAGCAACTAGAACTCCCATTTGCTCCTGGTTAAAAAGAGTTTGGCAGGTTCTTTAAACATTAATCCAATACCTACCATATGATACAATGATTCAATCCAAGGTATTTACCCAAGAGAAATAAAAGCATATTTCCACAAAAATCTCATACGTCAATATTCCTAGAAACTTTAATGGCCCCAACATAGAAAGAATCCAGGTGATCATTAGTAGATAAAAGGATAAACAAATTATCATATATCCATTCAATGAAATATGACTCAGCAATAAAAAGGAATGTACTACAGATACCTGTAACAACACAAAAGAACCCCAAAACAATATGCTCAGGGAAAGCAGAAAGACACAAACACTACATATTTTATGATTTCACTTAAATAAAATCCTAGAAAATGTGAATTAATCTGTAGTGATAAAAAGTAGAGTAGCTGCTGCCTAGGGAAAGGTGTGGCAGGGAGATATAGGAGTGGGCCATTGATGGGAAGTGAGAGAACTTTTGGAGGTGATGGCTATGTTCATTATTTTGATTGTAGTTGTGGTTTTATAGATATATTCATGTGTTTAAATTTACCAAAATGTACACTTTAGACATGTTCAATTTTTATATGTTCATTATATCTCTATAAAGCTAATACTTGGTACAGGTAAGGCAAGATGATGTCGTGTTGCACATTGCTAAACTGTTAGCTTAGAAATAACTGGAAAAAAGAAAAAGTGATCCAAAAACATGTGAGGCACACCATGAGAGGTGTCTAATATAATGACAACAAAGTGTGAACAAAGAAACCCAAACAGTAATATAGGCAGAAAATACAAAAAAAAAAAAAGCTTGCAACTATTTTCAACAGATTCATAGCACTATAAATACATATATTAAACATGTAGACATTTTAATAGTATTTTCTTATAACAAACCCAATGGTAGATAATTGTTATCTCCATTATAAAAATGAAGAAACAGAGACTCAGAGTTTTAGCTTGCATATTAGGGTTGTAGAGAATCAGAACCAATAGACACTGACTCACACAATTACGAGAGCTGACAAGTCTCAAGATATTTAGGGTGAGTTGGCAAGCTGGACACATGGGAGAGCCCAGGGTGTAGTTTTAGTCTAATATAAGGCTTGAGACCCAGGAAGAACTGATGTTTCTTAGAAAGTGAAGGCAGGAAAAATCTGATGACTGTGTTCAAAGGCAGTCAGGTGGAAGAATTTTTCTTATTTACAGGAGGGTCAGCCTTTTTGTTCTTTTCAGGCCTTCAACTGACTAGATGAGGCCCACCAATATTAGGAAGGACAATCTGCTTTACCGGGTCGATCCACTTAAATGTTAATCTCATTCAGAAACCTCATGGACACACCCAGAATGATGTTTGACCACATATCTGCACACCTTGTGGCCTAGTCAATTTGACATGTAAAATTAACCATTGCAGCAGGTAAAGGCTAAAATATTTATAAAAGAAGTAATTTGGGGAAATACTGTAAGGTAAATTTAACTATGGACAGATATAGAGAGTAGTTAGGACAGATGAGTACAGGAAAATCTCACCCTAGGAAAGAATTTTTATTTAGAGAGTAAATGTTCGTACATGTATATATGTTGATAGATGATTCAGAAGAAATCTGAACTTTTTAAAAAAAATAAATATGTTTCAAAGGAAATAATATAACTGCAAGAGTGAAGTCTTGGGAAGGTGAGTCACTGAATTGATTCCACAATGAGCTAAAAGGCTGAGAGCTGGCATTAGAATTTCCTTCAAAGCGCATTTAAGCTCAGGACCAATTTACCTTTCCAATCTCTTCTTTATCACTCTCCATTTCACACATTAAAAATCTCTAATGATTGTAAACACACCGTGTTTTTCATTCATCAGGACTGTGTTCTTCCTTTAACCTCATAAAAGAGCATCCCTCACATTGCTCCCATGCCTACTGTCTACCTCACTCTTCAAACCCAGTTCCAATGTCCATGCAACTTCCTCTGTGCAGCTTCCTTCAGCTTCCTGAGAGCAAGTCTCTTACTCCCATCCTTGGTACTCTGGAAATACTTCACGTGATCCTTTATAGCTCTGATCACATTACATGGTAATGTTTATTTCTGTATCTGCGTCCTCTATTAGATTGTTATGTCCTTGAAGATTGGGCAATGCATTTTCTCTTCTAATCCCTTATCAAACACACTGCCTACTATAGTGTTTGTTCTTAAAATTTATCTCAAAGAATGAAAACATGGATAAAATGTAACCGCCTTGGCTGAGTCTCAGAACATATTTACATGTAGAAAGAACTTTCAACATTTGATAACAACTCAGCAGGAAACTGCTATGCGATTTCAAAACTTGCCTCTGCAAGCGCACAAGAATACAGAGTGCAGAATGCCCAGGGCCAATAAGACAATGCCCCTAGGGTTTAGACTAGCATCTCAAACATTACCTGATCATTCTTGGAAGTGTATGGACACTCGCTTTGTCCCCCAGTATCTATGACCTCTGAAGATGGCATGAGTATTCCTAGGCTATTAGCAGTTCTGGTGAGGGAGGTTGGATAGTTTTCCAAGGAGCTATGTAGAAAGCTGAAATTGACAAAGGCTAAAGGACCTGCCTGAGACTAAAGAAAGAAAGGCCATATTTGAGTTCTCCTCTGACCCTATTTGTATGTTTGGAGCATAACCTCTTCACTTCAGCAGAGCAACTAATAGTTTAAACATTTACAGTAACAAAGCAGAGAATGCCAACAATGCTTTTCCTCTGTAATAGGCCTTTTCCATGGATGTCAATTCTCTACTACAATTTTTCTTCAACAAGCTGAGATGACTTATGAAAGATGCTCTCTCTCTCTCTCTCTCCATATATATATATATATGGAGAGAGAGAGAGAGATACATACATATTCTATTTCTCTGTGCTAGCAAATCTGTACACAGTTAACATGCAGGTTTAATTTTTTAGTCTATTTCCTTATCAAATTCTTGGGCTTTGAGTCTTCTCAAATGGCAGATGTAATCAGAATTGGAGTTAGGCAAAGGGAAATGGTGCTTAATGCAGGTGTTCCTGGAACCTCCTCTCCCATCCCCTCATTCTTTCCTTTTGTCCCCAAATTTTCCGCAGTCCTTGGTCTCTCAGGAATGGGCTGCTCCGCCATTAGCAACACTACTTTTGGGTGAAGGCCCAAGCAGATCCTGAGTTCATTTTATTTCTGATATAGTCAAAACTGTCTTTGCATATGCTTATATTTAATGGTTTTCTCTTGGGACTCAAGTAATTCATATTTTCTCTGAGGTAACTTAATTTTATGATGTGTCTGTTATAAATAGTTTTTTTTCTTCCCTACTCCCCTAAGGCAATGACAATTTGATTTTCCATTTATGGTAACATTAATGTAATCTCCTGGAATTGAAGTACATCATTTTGGTCTGTTTGTTAACTCATT